TATATATATATATATTAAAATATAATTTTTTATTTATATATAATTTATAAAAATTTTAACTATATTATATATATCAAACATAACTGTGCATCATGTTAAAATACTGGTCATAATAATTTAAGAATATTTTATATTTAAAATATGAAACCACACACGGCTCAGGCTACCACAATGACATTTGTATATATATACACCTTGGTATTGTTACCGTGTCCGAAAGGGTTGAGGTGATAATGGGGATATAGGCAAAAGTGTTAACAGGGATTAATAGTAATTTTGTTATAATTAAAAAGAAGTAATTAAATATTAAGTTACTGTAACAAGTTGGCGTAAAAAAGAGTTATTGCAGCAGGTTTTTAAATTTGTTTATTAGTGGACCACATGATAAATTTCTCCGTATTCGCTGCGTAAAATATTATAAATTTAAATATATTTTTATTTTCTCAAATTTAAAATAAATTTATTTTTATTTTTAAAATTTAAAATTATTATTTTTAGTTCTTGTAAATTTTAAATATTTTATTTTATTCTTTTAGATTACTAATAATATATATAGAAATAATAAATTAAGACCGTTATGTAATATTAATTGAATTTAATATGATATTTTTATTAATAAAAATATCAATAAGTAAATTTTATACAATAATATTTGATATATTTCTTAATAAATTTAAATATAAAAATTAAAATAAATTTTTTTAATAATATATTTATTAAAAACATTAATTTTAAATTTGAGAAATCAAAAATAAATTTATCCTAAATTTGAGAGACTAAAAATATATTTAAGTCAATATTATATTATTAACAAAATTATCATTGTAAAAAAATCAGTCACTTTTGTCTTCAAAATTTTAGACTTATGACTTTTGTGAGAAATGGTAGCAATATGTCTTTTAATATACTACTTTAAACATATTTTTTTATATTGACATGTGATAAAAAGAGACATTCGTATCTTAAAATTTTTAAAAATTATAAATAAAAAAAGGATAGACTAAATAAGTGGTTATTAAAGAATATGAAGGGTTTCATTTTTTTTTCTCTATAATTTAGGAGACAATGACCTATTAGAAATTGGAGGAAAAAAACATTTATATACCTAGTATTCAATATATATAGATTAAAGTTTATTAAAATCATTTTTTTATTATGCATTTTCCTTATTATTTATTAGATGATTGGAATCAGTTTTCTTAGTTGGTCCAGTGACCACAAAACAACACTTCGCACGTTGTATCTACCACCACCATACCTTAAATTCGCACGTTGTCACTCACTCTTGGAACAGTGTGAGAAAGAAAATGTTGGCATCAGCCACCTCCCAAGTACCGTTAAGAGTTCAACCACCGCACTCGACGGAGCCAATGCCACGCTCACTCACCCTCACACTGTTACCCGCCACCACTCCCTTCTTCTGTCACCGTCAGCGTCACCGTCAGCATCATTCCTACGCCGTTAAACCCTTTACTCTTCGCTCCGTCGCTCGCCGTTTAAAACCCGCACTCGTTAGAGCATGTCACCGATCACAACAGGTTCCCCCTTTTTCATCGCCAACACTATCAGCTGATAAAAAAAACAGAGAAAAAATGTTAATTAAAATTTGCATTAGTTCCCTAAGTTTAGGAAAAAATTAGACCGAGTTCCTTTTTTTTTTTTTTTTTTTTCCCTTAATGTGGTGAAAAATTTTAAGTTTGTATATAATTTTTAATTTTTAATATAAAATTCATATTGAACTGAGTAGTTGTTGTCAAAGTGGACTAGGCTATGTATTTGCCAGAGAATGATTAATTGCAAATTCATATTGAAGGTTTTTGGTATACAAAATGTGACCATAAATTGAAATTTCTTTGGACCAAAGTTCCTACATTGTAATTCAAAATGTATAACGGGATGGAGTTGTGTGGTGTTATATTGTTTTATGCATTTGATTAGTTTTTATTTGTTTTTTAATTAATCTCAGTTTGGAAATTCAGATGGGTGGTGATGGAAACAAAGAGACGAAGGGATTGAGTTGGGTGGAACCCATTTTGAAATTCGCTAGGAGCAATATTCTACCCTTGGGTGGCTCTCCTCTCTTTCCTTTGCATTCAAATTTTGTTGTGATTTTATTTGTTTTACTTCATTTTGATTATGTTTTAATCTCTGACAATTTTGTTTGTGTTTTTGAGGCAATGTATAGTTCTGGTTAGTGCAGTGACATTAGGATTAGCATATCCTAGTCTTGGTTGTGTTGCTGATAAATATAGTGTGTCAAAAATTGGCCCATTTGGAATTTTTGTTATCTCAGGTTAGTTTTCAAGAATAGTCTTTTGTATCTATTTATTATTTCGATTTTATGATACCCTTATCTCAAGGTGCTATTTCTTTCTCATGTGTTATCATATAGGATTGATGTTGCGTAGTGAAGAAATTGGTGCAGCTGTAGATGCATGGCCTGTTGGACTCTTTGGGCTTGTATGAACACAATTTTTAAGGATGAATTTTACAGTCTGGTTCACTACAGCCTGTGTTTGGATTGGCCATCCTAGATTTGATTGGAGGGCCTGTGTTTGGACTCTCATTGCTTAACTAGCATGTAACTCATGCTGCAAATATGTGATTTAGTTATATATTTATATGAGAAATGATACTTGTACAACAATTTGTACAACTAAGAGAGAGAAATTTAAAATGTATTAAATGATATGATGGAATAGACAATTTTTTTTTGTTGTTGTACAAATTGTTGTATGTGTATCATTACACTATATATATATATATATATATATATATTATATCATATATATATATATAATTTTATATTAATTCAAAATAATTTGATATTTTATTTTTATAAAATAAAATTGACGTAATATTATATATATTTTAAAATATGTTAAAGTATGAACACTTTAATTATCTTTAAGTTGTTGTTTAATTTTAAAAAAATTGATATAAAATATAAAGTAATATAAATTTTCAATCTAACAATTGGATTTACAAAATTCACATCTAATATAAAATTATTGAACGGTGTAATACTTAGTAAAAATTACATTGATATCGTTTAAGGTTGTTGAGAACATAAGGTTGTTGAGAAAAAATTGAAATTAAAATTGATACATAAGGTTACTTTTCTTTATGATACATAAGGATGTTGAGAAAAAATTAAAATTATTTTGATTTTAATTTCTATCAATTTTTAAATATTTTGTTTAGATAAATAAATTCAAAATTTTAATTTAAATAGAACAATTTGATTTTTATCATGAGTAAATTTTTTTTAAAATTATATATATATATATATATATATATATATATCCTTGTGATTTTAGTATAAGTTTCTTAGAGTAATGAAATTAAAAACATAGGATTAGATATGTTGGACCCTGTTGAACACTATCGGCAACATTGTATCCTGTCTCCTATAAAGGAAAAAGAATTTCATAACTCATAATTGTGATTCACAGCTTTTACTTTTGTGGTCAAGAGTACAAGTTTTAACTTAAAAATTTAATTGCTCTATCTCTTGTCATATTGTCTGTACAATAGCAACAACAGAGCTGGTTAGATGGATTTGGCTAGATGTATCAATTGACAGTTTGACACTGTTGAACTCTATAAAAAATGAATTATCTCAACTTGTTCTTGTATGTCTGCATGTTTTAAAAACAAAATCTCAAAAAGTTTTTTTTATATGTATTTCTCAATGTGTAACTTAATTATTTGGTTCTTTTTGCAGGTGTCTATTTTATTTCTTACACCATACTTTTCCAGGATAATATTGCAAATTCAGCTCCAACCCCAGGAATTTATTACAGGTTTAGCAATTTATTTTCTGTTTGACCTTAAGCATAAGTCAGCTTCAGCCTTTTGCATGATACTTTTATTGTAGTTTTAATTTTTTCAAGCGTGTGTGACCTCATTTGTATATTGCTGACCTTAAATCTTATCAAACATTGAAGAATTGATACTTAAATTTTGACTACATTGTGTTACCTTGTATAGACTAAATTTCCTGATTTAAGAAACTCAAATTTCGATGTTGAAGAACTAGTTCATGTTTGCTAAGATTAAGTATTAATTGGTAACTCAAATGATTCTGCATTGTTGAAAAGATTGCCTTTTGTTTGATATACATCAAAATCTGTCTCTGCTTTAAGTTGATGGTTAAATTTTTAGTTTTTTTTTTTCTCTTAAATGTTGCTACTGCTTCTTTCTTTGACCATGTGTGCAATAGCTGGTCCTATTCTTATATCAAGTTTCAGCACAATATATTGATACAATAGTAGGTCGATGTAGTGACCATGAATTGAGCACAAAAAACAGAAAAAACTTAAAATATAGAATAGTAGGCTTGTGCCAGACTGCAGGTTATGTAGACTTGGCCATACACATTGTTGTGCAGTTCTGCTTTAAAATTTGCAATTTTTGTCATTCTAGGAAAAGGCTCCTCTCTAGTCTGAATTGAGAGTGTTTGTCAGTGCACAACAACACAAGTACATGTTTCCACCCTTCAATTTTAGTGGGTTAAGATCATCTTGTGCTATGAAATTTATGGTGGATACATGTTTACTTTACAGACACACTTACTTTAGGGGAGCCTTATTGATCTCTTTTTCTTTAACTGAAAATTCATTCTTATTGTTGTGAAAAGTGCACAACTTCGCATTAGGCTCAATAAAATATCAATCATGGAAAAGTATTTCTCTTCTATGTTGGTCGGATAGTTAAATGTTCACACCACAATCCCAATCAGGACACCTGAACTTCCACTGTGTTTGGATGACCGGAGATAGAGGGGAGGGTGATAGGGTAAAAATGCCAAATTTTTACTATTTATTTGAGAGGAAAAATCTGGAGGAAAGTTGTTCAATGGGATACCCTCCTCCCCCCTTCTTTAATTGGAGTTGTTGAAGTGTGGGGATGAGCTCCTAATATTCATTTTTTTTTGTAAAAAGAAAATTTTTTAATATAAAGAAAATATTTTTTAATATATATTTTTAAACTTTTTTATACAATTCTTTTTTACTGTCTGTTTCAGTCATTTGAGAATTTTTTCCATTTCTTTCCTTCTTATTTATATTCATCCAAATAACATAACTTTTCTATCATGTCTGCATTTTATTTTTATCCCTCCCATTTCTTTTCCTCCAAACAAAGCATTTGCGTTGATGGTAGCCCAAGTCCCTATAGAAAGTGAAGGTTGTAGGTTTCATTTCCTTTAATTCAGCTAGGTCTATCTATTTCTTCAAGACCATGAATTTCCTGAACAACTTAGGCCTTAGTTACTACATAGCTGCTATGCTATCTCACAATTCTTCACAATTATTTCCAAGGTGGTATGTAGTTTCAGAACTTCTATAACATTAACACCTAAAACATATGGCAAGATTAAATGATAGAGACTAGGGAATCAGCATTGCAATAGAAAATTGCCTTTAAGTCTTTGTGGTTAGCTTTGGAATGATGTGACTCAACTGAAGTTGGCATGTTGTAATTTTTGCGAGATTTGTGAATGCACTTGTCAAAGGTGATAAACAAGATTGATTAACAATGTGTTTGGTAAAGAATATGCAAATGGATTATTGACAAATGACAAAATAAATTGATTTAGGTACTTATAATTTGGGAAACTGGCTTGTATACAGAAATTAGAAGAAATAAGGTCAAATTGTACTTTTGGTCCCTCTATTTTTGTCAATCTGTAATTTTGGTCCCTTTATTTTAAAATAGAGAAATTTAGTCTCTCTAATTTTAAAAATGTAGAATTTCGGTTCTCTCATCAAATTGACATTTATTAATTATTAAGTTTTAACGTTTACATATACTTAATTAATGACATTTAATAACATGACATTTAAAAATAAAAAAACTAAAAAAATCATACATATAAAATTTATTAATAAAATAAATATCAATCACTTGTTCAAATATATACAAATGAAGATATTTTATGTATTATTTTTTATAATTTTATTTTTATATTTCATGTCAATAAATGTCACGTTATTTAAGTGATGATAGATTAGTAAAAAATGTTAAAATTTGATGATCATTGAACATCAAATTGATAGTAGGACCAAAATTCTGTATTTTTAAAATAGGGGACTAAATGTCTTTATCTTAAATTAGAAGGACTAAAATTGTGGATTTATAAAAGTAAAGGGACCAAAATTACAATTTAGCCAAAAATAAAGAGAAGGCTTGGACACATGGTTGAATATCTCTTGAATTTTGTACAGCTGATAAAGTTATGTTTGTACTTCAGATATTGAAAAGGCACCGTTGAAAAGTGGTAGACTGAAGTTTATTAGAGAAGAAGATGAATGCCACAAATGATCAAACACCAAACTTTGTTTTAAAATAAGCTATAGATATGTCTTATCAAATGACCAATTTTTTAAACTTTTGTTTTGTTTGAGCCATGAGGATGGATGCTAATATGCTTTTGCTTATTCATAGCAAGTTTTTCTCATTTCATTTGGTGTTTAACCCACCGCCTTTTCTTTTAGCTTTTTAAAATACTTTGCGATTGCGCTTTGCTAAATGATTATAAAGCTCTACCTTGTTTCTATTCACTGATCAACACTTACAGTAATATCACTCCCCGTTTTGATCAAATATATTGCACATCTCCGACAATTGTTACTATTACTCTGTAATTTTTGTGCTTGTTATTCACAGTTGGCTTTCTAGTCGTCAATATTCTTGCAATTTGAGATATGAATATCTGGGTTTCTACAGGGCTGGCTATATTTAGCTGCATGCCAACTACATTGTCAAGTGGTGTTGCTCTTACCCAAGTATGGTTATGGTCCAGCTCCTTTCTTGTTTTTCTTTTGGATTTCCATTCTTATAAATTTTATATACTTTGTATCTACTTCCTGTAGATGAATTGAACTTTATTTTTGTTTTCCTACTTTTCTTATGCAGCTTGCTGGGGGAAATTCTGCACTTGCTCTTGCAATGACTGTAATATCTAACATGTTAGGAATATTGATTGTGAGTCCTAAAGAGATGCATTTTTAACATTATCCTCAATTTTATTTTTGTTTTACATTTTTTTTGAAGTTAATTGCAGAATAATTATTGGCTGTGTTGAAATTTAGGGATAATTAATTTACTTCAAACCTCCTTTTATTTTGCATTTCTTACACAAAATTTTCTTTATTTCTAAGATGGTAAAACATACACAAATCCCTCCTATTTTATGAATATTTGCTACATTTAAACCCAAAATCATTATTTTTATATAAAATTGAGAAAAATATCCTTATTATAGATTTTGTCTCATTATACATACCCTCCTTCTGTTGATTTTTTCTAATAATTAATATTAAGATTATGTTAGCATTTTGTATCAACCTCATACATCAAATCTTATATATTCACAGTATTATACTAATATTGATCTCTTCTCTCTTTTTCCATCAAGTCAAGTCCATATTTTTCAACATGTTTGGTTGTAATATTATTTATCTTTCCTTTTTTTAAACAATATGCAATGTTTTAGCTTACATATGTTTTCTCCATCTAATTTAATTCTTATTTTTGTTATATTTATGATAATATTTCATCTTCTTTTAGATTCCACTTTCAATCACAAAATTTGTAGCAGCTGGAGTGGGAGTGGCTCTACCTACCAAACAGTTATTTAAAAGTCTTGTTCTAACCATATTAATCCCCCTTATTTTGGGAAAGGTAATTGAGTTCTCCTTCACATATATAGATACTGTAGATGCTGTTGTTTGAATACTTCAAAAGTGATGTGATTTTGGACTACAAAAATGTATCTTCTTTCCATGGGCTTAGTGTCGTGTTGCTTTATGTTTAAAAGATTTTGTAGTAAATACCTTTAATATATTTAGGATTGGATAAATATCTCATTGTATCTTTGATATTTTTCTTATTTCCTTTTTATGTAAGTTTTACTATTTCCCTTAAAAGGATTAGCCATTTAGCCTATAAAAGGGGATTAGAGCTTGTATTCAAAGCAGCACAAAGAAATATATTCAGTTTTTTTCTTTCTAGTGGTTGTTTTGTTTCTAAAGCTACGGTGATGATTTTTGCAACTACCATGTGGCTTTGAAACAAAGCCTTTGACTACACAATATTCTGTTAAGAAAATGATATTTTTTTGTAACCTGCATTACTACATTTACACATTTTGTATTTTCAGTGTGCTATCCTCGTAAAATGACCTATGAATTCTTTGTAGGAACATGTCTTGTTGCTTATAGTAGGTGATTGGTTTTGACCAGTCAATGGTTGTTAATTTAAAGTTGTACGATAGAACAAATACATAGGCCATCATTTCAAAATGACTTTTCAAATACCCTATTGTGTCAGTTTTTGCTGATTCAGATTTTGGTATTCCATCTTTCACCAATTGATCATATCAATTTTGCAGCATAATTTTATTTCTTCACCAATTGTACACCCTAGTGACACTATACATTTGTTTATCCCTTGTCTGCTATACGTGGAAGTTGAATATGATCTTTGGAGCTGAATATTCAAATTCTTTTGTTACACTCAGTTTATTAAGTGTTTTAATCTTCTTTATTGCATTGACTGGGCAGGTTTTACGTGAATCTTTTAAAGGTGTGTTCTATTGTCTATGCTTTTTAGAGTAGCTTGTCTGTCACATGTTTTGATGGATAAAATAAAGAAGTGACTGTCATTATTACGTGAAATAAATCACTGAAATTATAATGCAAGAGTTTCCATCGAAGTCTTGGTTGCATAATGGTATCTAAAAGTTATAGGGCAAGTAATTTCGTATTAGATTATTTTTTTGCTGGTCACATTTTTTTCTTAAACAGGCCCTTGTTTGTTCTTTATTTAAGGATTTAAGGACATATTATTCTCTGTTTATACCTTCTCCTTTTTGTCGCTATATTATTATCCTTTATATAGAAATTATTTGTTTTGATCATATCTGCTTTACAGGTGTTGCTGACTTTGTAGACAAAAACCGCAAGCTTTTCTCAGTCATCAGTGCACTTTTCCTTAGCCTAGTAAGAACAAATTTTGGGATGTTTCCTTATTTCGTTTCTCCAAGGTGGTGGTTTTCTTTGCATCAAGTTGTTGGAAAGATTTGGTTTTTTTCTTCTTCTTTTTAATATGTTCAGAATCTTAAGTTGTTAGAAATGGATAAGGTGCTTTTTGCTTTGATTATATTGTTGGGCCAGTGGCACATTCCATCTACTGAAATCAATTCATGAAATCCTTGTTCAAAAGTGAGCCGTCTAAATAACCATCAGTTTCTGCGCAAGGAATTCTTGTTCCTGGCTTCACCTAACCTTTAGAATTTTATTATTGTATAGTGTTATACCCATGTATTGTATAAAGACAAAAGACATGTCAATTAAATTTTCTTGCCTCCTTTAATAACATGTTTACATTTGTTGTGATGCATACTCTTCTCTCCCTTGATTCTTGTCATCTTTGAAACCAGGTAGTCAGCAATCAACAATCTTTTGTATGGGGAAAATTATAATGTTTCCACTTTTCTTATTATATTCAATTTGATTAAGCAGATTTGAGTTAATGATAACTTGACTGTGTTTATTAGCCACTTACCAGTCCTAGTCAGCTTGTCCCCTTTTCTTTTCTCCCGGTGAATAAAAATGTTTCACTGGAGGAAAAACTGTTTTTGTGCTTGCCATCGAATCCATAAATTCAAGGGACTTATTAAAATCATTATGCTGATAAATCATTAATGGCATCATGTTTGTGAAAATCTGATACCTGTAACAGAACACCTTTATTCAAAACTAAAATATTTCCAATTCTACATCCATGTGCCACTTGTTTGGCTTTGTTCATTAAATGCTAAATTTTAATATGACATGAATGCTTTGCATATATAGTCAGTTATCCGACCTAACAAATAATGTCTGAAGCTATGGTCTTATAAATTATAGATGTTTCTTAGGAGTTAATTTCCTTCTCTTTTTTGAGCTATTATATTTGGTTTGTTATTTTATCATCATGGTAGATTAAAAAGGAAATTATAGTCTGATAAAATATTGCCATACAGGTACCTTGGATACAAGTGAGTAGGTCAAGGCCACTTTTGTTAATGGTGAAGCCCAAAGTTTTTCTTGTAGCTATTGGACTGGGAACGTAAGTTTGGCACGAGTTAGTTTGGATTTGTTTGTTGTCATGACATAATTGGAATTGGATATTGCTAGTTTTCTCTTTACTAGTTGGTTTTTTTTGGTAGTTCTCAGAATGTGGGCTTGAGCTAAATTTAACTCCACAAAACTAGTTTGTAAAGTGAGAAATTTCTTTCACATATACACTAATTTGACCATATCACTCATTGATGTGTGATCTCCAACACCTCCTTCACACATGCCAACAATAATCACTATAATAAACTCCGATAACATTTTAAAATGTGAGTTTGAACCTAATTCAATTTCACAAAACTTACCAGTAAGGGCCTCACTTATATACACTAACTAATTTGGCTATATTACTAGTCTAAGTGAGATTTTCAACACATATCTCTCATCGATGTGTGATCTCCAACACCCCCTTCACACATGCCAACAATAATCAATATAATAAATTCCGATAACATTTTAAAATGTGAGTTTGAACCTAATTCAATTTCACAAAACTTACCAGTAAGGGCCTCACTTATATACACTAACTAATTTGGCTATATTACTAGTCTAAGTGAGATTTTCAACACATATCTCTCATCCCAAGGATCAGGATATCCAAACAACAGTATTAATATATAAAAAATAAGTAAAAATTATTTTGTATTTCATTCTACAATGAATAGTTAACCAAAATGAGTTCCTATGTCATGATATGTGCCTATGTGATAGGTACTTCTACCATCTACATACATGATTGCCCTTATATCTTTGACTTTGTTTCTATGTGGGTATCTCATCGATAACGTCTGATTCATTCAATTGGAAAATGGATATTTGTTGTTTGAAATTTATATTATCAGTGTCGTGATTTTACCTTTTAAACAACATCGATTTAATACTTAAAGGCACAAATCATATATTGGCAATTTTGTATTTACCCAGACCTCATAGTCTTCTGGCCACAAGAAGTCTTGTTTAACACATTTTCTGGCACTCTTCGTATGAGTAAGTTTCCAAAGAGGACACTGGTGTGCAATTTAATAGGAAGTCACTATTAATTGATTGCTGTGAGGCACTATCAGCTTCAATGGCATTATGATAACTAAAATAAAATTGACCTTCATGATACATTGCAGACTTCTTCATCTGTCATTATTGGTATTCAATATCATTGCTGTTTGGAGTCTTTCGGTTATCTCTGGTGGTAGAAAATCAATTTTTTCCCGGGAAGAAAATGCCAGTGCACTCGTACTTGTTGCAAGCCAGGTAATAACTCAATCACTTTCTTTCTCATATCTCTTATGAAATGAGTATATCAACTTGTGAGATAGGAGGCACTTTGTAACAAATCTCTTGTCATTGTTCTTTCAATCTTCTCTCAGAACTCGATTTCATTCCTTTCAGAAAACATTACCAGTAATGGTAGCAGTAATAGAGCCACTTCAAGGTGCATTTGGAGAATCCGGGTTACTGGTTCTTCCTTGTGTTGCAGCACATCTCAACCAGGTCATTTGATTTTTTCTTCTTACCAATTTCTATTATCTCTCCCTTATGCTAACCTATAACTCCTTGTAGATTATTGTTGACTCGTTTATCGTTAACTTCTTGCGTCCCCGAGACAATTCCAACAATGTGAAGATGGCTTGAGTAGAGGAAATGGTGATCATCATCGATGGTTGTGGCATATCATGAGGCACTTCAAGCTGCGTCATTGGAAATGTTGATATAAAGGATGTTTAAAAATCTTGGTTTCATTTCCCATTGTATTACCCAAAGTATAATATGCTTGTGTACAATGTTCAGTCTGGCAGTTTGCTTAGCCATATAGCTTTACATCTTCATGTTGTTGTTTGATGATTATACTTATTTTAATTTTAGTGAGCAAAAGGAGGTCTTTCACGGTAAGAATTAAATTAAAATTCTCAGGGTAACAAATCAAACAATAACAACATATATCAAAATATACATATTAATGTAAATTGAATGTATTCTATCTCTTGGTCATGTATTAATATATTGTTAGATGTTATTATTACTTATTAATAGATGGAAGTGCTTCGAGACAAATTTCAAGCAATCATTGATCATCTTGCCAATTTTGTACTTACAGATCCTGAATCCCATATTGTTCTGATAACGAAGAGATATACTCATCTTTGTTAGACAGCATACTAAAAGGCATGAAGTATGCTCTCTCAGCTTTCCTTATCTCAACATCATAACCTTTTGGGCAGACTTCTCGTTTAACATGTTAGAGAATGAAGATTTTCCCTAGGATTGATGCTTAGTGTTGTTCTCTAGCTTTCTTGGATAGACATGAATGTTGGGCTCATAAGACAACATTGCCGGTTGTGGTTTTTCAGATTCTACTTCATTTGCGGACCTTAAGTCATTAAAGGTTAAGTTTGGCAAGCCATTATGGATCATATGAGAGAGACATCGAATAGCAAAAGAAGCATTACATACCTAAATAAAAGGAAAACTCGAAACTTGAACAACAAGATCAAAACTTTAACTTTCAATAGATACAATAATTTCAAAATATATCATAAACAAGTAAAATAACAACAATATAAAATTTGGAGAAAAAATTGAAACTTGAAATGAAACCCAATACAAGATCTGAAAAAAATTAAAACTGAAACTTGAAATTGAAAAAAATAAAAATTTGAGATAAAACTCATGAAACCTAAATAAGCAAATGATACCAAATTTGCATTAGAAAGAAAGAGCATTAAGCCCCACCAAAGAAATGGATTTGATCTACGCGTGAAGGGGAAGAAGATGATCTTCGTATGCAAGGGGATGATGATCTCTTTGTGATCCATGAAGCACCCCCAATGAGAAGTGGAAGAAGTAGGAGAAAGGGACTCATTTGCATAGGAAAAGGTTTCTTGAGAAGGTCTATGGGAGAAAGATTTTGGGGTTGGGGAAGGAAAGAAGAGAAATATTAAAATTGGAAAAGTGGAAGTAAAAATCAAAATAAATACAACAATTTGATCTCATTTTGAAAAGAAAGGAGCCGTTGATATCATTTATTAGACCACTCTCAATTTGATAACTAAATTAATATTTTTAAAAAATCTTAAGTTTCACATAGATTAAAAATAAGAAAATTAAAGAGTATTTAAGTTGGAATAACACTTATTTTATTAGTTAATTTTGTTGGGTTGAGTTAGACCTATAATATGTATTTTAAGAGTTTAAAAGGTTATGAATCATATGTTGGAAGTATGAAAGCAGATTTCTATTGCTTCGAATGAATTCATTGTAAGCATTTAAAAATTAAATAATTATTAATGATGATTTCACATGCGCAATTATGGAAGAATTTTAAATTCGCAAGAAACTTTTTAAATTCGCAAAAACATATTATTCACGAAAATATTACTTTGAGATAAAATTTTGCAGAGAAATTTGTAAGAACCATATTTCCTACAAATTTTTATACAAAATCTACATGAAAAGTCACATGTAATAAGAAAAATTATATTATATTATTAAATTAGTGTTTGTAGTTATTTAAAATTTAAGGATTCAACTAATATTGAATATGTTATAATTAAATAATAAGTTTTAAAAATTTAATAATATATTAAGTAATTTAAAATTAATATAAAATTAAAAAGAAAAAATTAATATTGCTTATAAGGTATCTATTAAACTAATATAAAGTTTTTTTTTATAAATATTATATTAGGATTCAATTTGTATATGTTATAATTAAATTTTATGTCTTATTCTTTTTTATACAATCTTATATCCTTTTTAAAATTTATTTATATTATAAAATGACAAAAATCTATTAAGCTACACACATTATTAATGGGATAAATATTTGAAAATACATGTGGTGCAAAGATTTTTGTTATGTAGGAACAACGAGATTGTTTTAACTTAATTAATTATTTTATATTAGAGTTATTGTGTTTAGGTTAAAATGTATTTTTGGTCCGTATAGTTTTACTTACTTTATTATCTAGTTTTTATAATTTAAAATAGATATTTTTAGTCTATGTATTTTATCTTTATTAAACTCTTTTAGACTTTATACTTACCTTTTTTTTTATTAATATTTTTTAGTTTTCGTCATTATTTTTTTTTGGTAACATTGTCTCTTTTTGTTGATGTGGTACAAAATTTTAATTTTATGAGAGTAAAAAATGTGTTTCAACAATGGATATCACATGTGAAGATAAAAAAATGCATGAAGTGTTAGGCAATCTAATTTAGGGTAATTTTAACATATCAACAAAAAAGAGACAAAAATTATAAAGAAACTAATGGAAATGATTAAAAAGAGCAAGTATGGTAAAAAAAAAATCTATCTTAAATTATAGGAAGTTAATAAGATTAAAAAGATAAACGTAATAACTAAAAGGTTATTTTAAATTATAGAAAATAAAAAGTAAAATAAATGAAATTATAAAAACTAAAACAATATTTTAATCTTGTGTTAAATATTTGAAGAATAAGCTTAGCCACATATATTTATTTTACATGACTAGAGGGTTTCCTACATTTTTCTCATATTTGATAGTTTCCTACTCACTACATAGTCTCGTATATATTGATAGTTCCTTACTATTGTGTTTAGTTGTAAGGATAAAAATAAGTGAGAAATACAAGAGAGAGAAATAAGTAAGTAAAAATAAATAAGAAATATAATAAAAATGAATTTGTTTGGTTTAAGATAAATAGGTAAAAATAAAAGAGAAATAATATTATAGAATTGTTTGTTTTTAAATGAATTAATGAAGAAGAAAGAAATTATAATTAAAAAATTATCATTTTATCCTTTTTAAAATTAACTAAACGTAATGTTTTGAAGGTTTTTTTTAGGTAATCAATTAAATTAAGTTTAATTCAAATAAAATAAACTTATTTATTTGCTTATAATTGAATAACATGCATCTTGCTATAATACAATCAAATAAGTTATTATAAAAGTTTGTTTATTCAAATAAATTGAAAATTTATTCGAATAAACCAAATTTCAATAAAGTATTTATTTGGCTTAAAAAAATTAATTTTCCTAATTATATTTTTAAGTTGTTAAAAGAGAGGGAACAAATTCAAATGTTTCTTTTTTTATTATTATTTTATTTCAAACATTAAAATTATCGATTTAAGTACTAATATTAAGTTATAGTTATATTAAAACTACGTACAAGACTAAAAGTACATTTTAAAAAAAAAACTTATTTATAAAACAGACTTTAAAAGTGCAAACCGAAATAAATGATTATTTATAAAACTTATTTATATTTTCTCTAAACTTATACATACATAAAAAAATACTTGAAATTTTTAACTGAAAATAGAAACAAATTTTAGTAAATTTAATCTTATTTAATATTTTTAATTTAAAAATACTCTTATAACGATAAATAAAAATACTATTCACAATAAACATGATTAAAAATATGATATATCATATAATAAATTATAAAATTAAAAATTAAATATATTTAACTAATTTTATAAAATTAGATTATTTTACTTATCATAGTTCGGACTTTGGAGGGAGCATATCATAACAGGGGTGAGCATTAAACCGACACCCGAACCGAACCTGAAAAACCCGAAAAAAAATATTGCTTTTGGGTGGGTTCGGGCGGGTCTTATGGATAAATCGGGTTAAAATTTTAATTTTATACGGGTTATATTGGGCGGGTTCAGTTTTGAATTTTTAAACCCGCTAAAAACCGAACCCAACCGAAAATGAGATAAGTTTAAATTTTTATTACTTTTGTATAACTAAACAACAATGGTCCAAATTTAAAAGTCTTTATTTCAAGTATAATATAGTCATCAATTTGTAACTTATTTTTTTCCTTTTTCTCATAACTTAGATATTTATTTTGTCTTCTCCTTCCTCATTCAACTTCTCAACACACTAGTCCATTTTTAGAGTTATCTTTTTGCTTCTTTCTTTGTCTTTCTTTTCCATCTTCTTATCTCCATTTTGAGTACATTTTGTGTGACTGTGATTTGTTATGGTTTTGTAATCTAACTTTATATTTCTTTCCCATGTAACAACTATGAATTTTGTTATCTTTTATTTTTGCTTCTTTAGTTTATAAATGTTTCAACTACGAATCTATTTACACCATCTATTGTCACCTTCATTCTATTTTTATACACTATTTTAAAAATATTTTTTATCGTTTTAAGCTTCATCTTCGTTAAGATAAATTGGTTTACAAAAAAATTCAAACCCGATTATACCCACCCGCTTAAATCCGAATCCGTTTCAACCCGAACCGCCTCAAATCGAAAGTTCAGTCGGTCGGATATGGGTCACATTTTTTCAAAGCCGGTTTACAACGGGTTGGACATTTTTTACCCGAACCCGACCAAACCCACCCGTTGCTCACCCCTATATCATAAGATGTGATGTGTAAATGGCCACATCGTTTACGTACGGAGATTAGGTGCCAGAAGTAATAACATTGACCACCCCCAAAACGAAGCAGTTTTAATTACATATGTATTGGTTGTTCTCTCTTGTGCACTAAAAGTAATTATATCTTCTCTTCTTAGTCCTCTCTGCACAAAGAAATGTTGCTGAAAATTGCAACAATTTTCTTGATAGGCTTTTTGGCCTTAGCATACCAAGCCATTAACCCTCCACCCCCAAGAACATGTGGTTCACCAGGTGGTCCACCCATCACAGCGCCAAGAATTAAGCTCAGAGATGGAAGACACTTAGCCTATAAAGAGCATGGTGTTCCTAGAGAAGTGGCCAAGAAGAAGATTGTATTCTTACATGGGTTTGGTTCTAGTAGACATGATGCTGTGATCGTAACAAATCCTCCCCAAGTATATATATCTTTTTGAAAATTTCTCATTTGGTAGAAACTTAAGAAGTAGTATTTCTAAACTTGTATTCTGACCAACTTTTATTTAGTGACATGAGTGTAAATATGATCTAGGTTTAATTAGTTCTCTTTGTGTTCTCTATGGTTGATTCTGGTTTTTGTTTTGTTTTGGGGTGGATTAATATGAATAGGGACTTCTTGTGGAACTTGGAGCATACATTGTGTCTTTTGATAGACCAGGGTATGGGGAAAGTGATCCTGATCCTAATCGAACGGTGAAGAGTTTGGCTCTTGATGTTGAAGAGCTTGCAGATACGTTGGGACTGGGAGCTAAGTTCTATGTCATTGGATTTTCTATGGGAGGACAAGCTGTCTGGGGTTGTCTCAAGTTCATTCCTCATAGGTAAGTGAGAAAGAGAATGTTGTTTTTCTTGTTTCTCCCTTGTTCAAGATTTTTTTTTGTTTTGTTTTCTTCGTCCCATCTTTGAAAGTATGAAAAAGTCAACTTGTTGTTTCAATATGATGATATGATGGCCATTTAAGAGCTTATTAAAATCATTGTTAACCTTTCTTTGTTAGAAACTGATATCATATATTATATTTTTCTAAACTGCTACATTTGACTCGGATGCACGGAAGTTTATTTTACTTTCTGAAGAAAATTAGTAGGTTTGAGTGACAACTCATATTTTTGACATTTTGTGCCCACGTTAATGATTTGGTCGTACGTTATTAATTTGAACAGTTATACCTCATAAATAAAAGTTATGCGCCATTAATTTTTTATTTATTTATTTTTCATCTCATCATTTATTATATTTAAAAATTTTCGCTTTCTATTTGTAAAATTTATTGTAAAACATAATTTTAAATTGTTCCACTTTCATAATTGCGACCACAATATAATTTTTCAACCATCTAACATGTTTAAGAAAATTATTATTTTTGCAAATTTTTTGTGAAGACTTTCAAAATATGATTGATTTTATTAGTATTATGTTTGTACGGTCTTGGATATGTACCGAGAAGGTAAAGACGATGTTGTCAATAATTAAACTTAAATATGGAAAAGATAGCATGCTAACCAAGTCCTTGGACCTTTTAGGCTCAAGGTTAGTAGGTAAATGTAACTTCTTAGATATTATCCGATAGGATTATGTTGAGTCAAGTAGCTGAGAACATGTAACCAACAAAGTCAATCTTAAGGACAGTCTGTATTAATCTAACCAAGCTAAACCTAGGTATAACAACTAGTCAACAACATTTGAGGGTAATCGGAATTACTCTGATATTCCTACATCTAGTATAGGATCTTATTTTTAATAATTATAATCACAAGATATGATATTAAAAAAGGGGTAATATAAAATTTTAAAATTCTCAAAATTCATAAATTCATAATAATCAAATATAAAACCCTAATCTTAAAGTAATAGGGGATAGAATATATTTTTAAATGTTTTAATTTTGGTTGCGCAGCTAAATTAATTATAATATTTTTCTAAAATAAAACAATGTTACTAAATAATTATAAGTAATAAATATTGAATTTAGTATATTTTTAATTTTAAAAATGTTGTATTTTTTATTTTTTAATATACTTTAGATTAAATATGCAAATTTGATATTTTAATACTTTAATGTTTTAATTTAAATATGTAAAATATTATATGTTAAGACTTTCATAATTTATTTTTATTTGAGAATGTTTTATGTTTTATGTGCAATTATGATGGCAATAACTTTTTTTGGGTTTAGTGTTACTATAATTAGAGTGTTTGGTCCCAAATGGTTAATAATATTATTTCCTAAATTGATAATGGTTTTGAATTATGATGGTCACAGACTAGCTGGGGCAACACTAATGACTCCAGTGGTGAACTATTGGTGGCATAACCTTCCTGGGAACATGTCAACAAAGGCCTACTACGAGCAACCCAGAAGAGACCAATGGGCAGTGAGAGTTTCACACTACTTTCCATGGCTCACATACTGGTGGTTCACTCAGAAATGGTTTCCTTCATCAAGCGTTGTGCAACGTAATCATGCTGTTTACTCCGATCAAGATTTATCAATCATTTCCAACTTCTTAATTAAAAGAGAACATCAGGTATACTATACATACTATGCACCTCTTCAGTTTTGCCCAATATAACTGCTTTCCATTATTTTCGATGAAACTTACGAGTGTTTATAATAAATCAAAAAATTATTTCTGTGAGTAATATAATTTTTTACTACAATATTATTTTTTTTAAAAAAAATACCAAAATAACACTTGTACAAAATTATTTACTAGCTAGAGTTGTTTACTGTTCATAGTTCAGTTCTCGGAAAACAGAATTCTAAGCATCGTTTTTTTGTGCTCAGAATTCGGTTCTTCAATAACCGAATTCTGAGTACTTTTTTTATTTTTTTTATTTTTTTGTTTTGGATTCAGGAATGTGTAAATTTTGTAACTGGAACTGGCCGTTTTCCAAGGAGAACGATCCGTTCCAGAGTAAAGTTTTAAGCATAACTTGAATTTTGGAACAGGCCGTTTCAAACAAGGAAAAAAACTGGATTCAAAACGGGCCGTTCTGATCGCAGAACGGTCCGTTCTGAATCTAGTTTTTTTCCTTTCTCAGAAACGAAAACACAAAAAAAAATAAAATTTAATCTTGCTCAAAATTTGATTCCCCGAGAACCGAATTCTGAGCTATGAACAGTAAACAAGTCTAGTTCTGTAAATAATTTTGTACAAGTATTATTTTGGTATTTTTTTATAAAAAAAATAATATTGTAGTCAAAAATTCGTGAATAATACTAGATTCAACCTCTTTAAGTAAAATTTAAAGTTTGAATTTTATGTATAGAAAAAACTTGATTATGAGAGAAGATTCTACAAAATTATTATTAGTCAAATTTTTTGATCAAGATTAATTATCAACTGTTAAATATTTTGTATTAATAACGCGATTAAAAAAATAAAAATCATGTAATAAAATACTTATAAATTTTTATCCATTGCGAGAACTTTGAAAAAAGTCGTCTCAACTCAAACAAGTTTCATATTTTGCGCCCAGTTTCTTGTGGTACATTGTTTTCTTTTGTAGCAAGATAACATTATTCATTGAATGAAACGAATGTATATTTAACAATATTAAGATATTTTAGGAGTGAGAATCGTGAGAATAGGTGAGTGAACTATTTTGTCGGCATAGCTAATTTAGGTTTATTCTTATACCTCATTGATATACTAACCAAATTAAGATTTTATTAGAGTTTTAATTATGTGATTGAAATATTTTTTTATTTATCTTAAGAACACATTAGTTAAAAATTAAGAAGAGTATTTATTATTAGATTTAATTACTTAAAAGAAAATATTAAATAGTTCATTCTTTTTGTAGTAGATGTTTGTATTTTTATTTGATACATAGTTTTTAGTTTTTACTTTATGCTAAGTAAAACATTATTTTGGTCTCTAAAATCATATTCCACTGTCACATTAGTTCTTAATTAAAATTAAGAAAAATTTAAATAAATCCCTCAATTCTTTTGTTGTTTAATTTAAATTCTTAAAGTTGATTAACCACTTAAAATATGTCTCGGATAGTTGAAATTTCTGGATTTTAGATGTTATATATATATATATATATATATATATATATATATAT